ATTTCCAGTCACACGATTGCGACAATTTATCATTGGCATACACCACACTGCCAAGATGACAGACTTTTTTTTTTTGATACCAAAATACAAAAAAATAACATACAAGTTATATTAGCAATGCAATTAAATCATAAAACTTCAACAAGTAAAGCATTAATTTTTTTAAAAAAAATTATGCTAGGAATTAGAGAATGTTCTCAAAGGAAAATTGAAACTAGCATCTAAAGTCAATTAATCAACAAATAAACATAAAAATATTTTAAAGTATTCAACAAGCGTAAACCATGAAGAAGAGAGTATAAAAGGAAAATCAAAGAAGCTCAAGCCTTCTCCCAAACTTAATTAAGAATCGTCCTTAATGTTTGGGGAGAGGACTTGAGGATAGAGTGGAAGACGTGTGGTAAATATCTAATCAATGAACTTGTCATTCATGATGTCCTCTTCAGTATCCTTCTCTACGGACTATATTGACAATAACTTTGAAATTCATGGTTGATTTACTCGTAAGTTGTCCTTCTCATCATTATCCTTGGGCTCATTAAGGAAAACATATATATGTAGGAATCCTTATGATTGAGTTACTAGAATCCAATTGTTATTATACTATATAAGGAATGATATCAATTAAGTGGTTATCTAGAAGTAGCATATTAAGATTGACAACTAGATTAGGAGAAAACTAGAGACACTTTCTTCCTATATTGCCCCATTTATGATAAACAGTGGATCACATTGTAGAAGAAAATACAAAAAATAAAGAAGAAATACTTTCTTCATGTTCTCGATGTATCAGAGACAGCTTGCTAAAACCGAATCTCCAAAACTAGTATAATGAAACTAGTAACGAGGAGATGTGAGGCGGTGTTTGGGTTTGATCAGCTCAAAAATCTGTTGGACTTGCAAGAAAATATCAAGAATCCCACATCGACATTGAGAGACAAGTGGTACCACCACATAAGGTCCCTAGTTACTCAACTTAGTGAGAATTGATTTTGAGGTGGAACCCTCATGGCTACTGCCCGCTATGTTTTTTAGGATTTGCCATCGTGAAGGATCATTGCAGTGCTAAGAAAAATGAAAGCCTTTACCATTTTGATTCTGAGCAACTAAAAATATGCATGTTATTATTTTCTTGTTTTTTTTTTTATTTAGACATGTTAAAGTTATAAGGATAAATTAATTTAAACACTTTTTTCTTATAATTTTCTTTTTTCTAAACTTATCCTGTATAATACTGATATTTAATTATGTTTAACTCTAATCTTTATTTCCCCAGACAACATGGATCAAAGTAATTTAATAATAATTAGCGATTCATCATCATTATGGTCATGATATATTATGGTCATTATGGTTGCAATTGATTCTTTGTATTGCTGCAGATTACCAATCCTCATCAACGTTAGAAGAATCATCGGTGAAATCCGCATGCCACACTTGAATTCCAAGATGCATATGCATAAAAAGGCAATAACAAAAAAAATATTTAGCACCGGTATGGACATATGGAGTATTGATTCTTTTAATTACGATGAAACAATTTTGACTCTGGACAACCGATAACATGCATGTTATATTTTTCTTTTTTAATTAGACGTGTTAAAGTTATAAGGATAAATTAATTTCAAATACTTATTTCTTATCATTTTCTTTTTTAAACTTATCTTGTAAGATAGTGATATTTAATTATTTTTAAATCTAATAATTACTCCCCCAAACAATGTAAAAGAAATTAAATTTATCAATGATTAGCGATTTATCATCATTATGATTGTAATCATTACGATCACGATATATTATGGTCATTATGGTTGTAATTGATTTTAATATTTTGTTGTATATTGCTAATCTTTAGAAGATTCATCGATGAAAACCGCATGCAACACTTAAATTCCAAGATGCATATTCAAAGAAAAAAAACAATAAGAAAAGCTATTTAGCACTGGTATGGACGTATGAAGTATTAATTCTTTTAAGTACGATGATACAATTTTGATTCTAGGCAACTGAAAATATGCATCTTATATTTTTCTTTTTTATTTAGACGTGTTAAAGTTATAAGGAGAAATTAATTTAAAAACTTATTTCTTATAATTTCCTTTTTTAAAACTTATCTTGTATGATACTGATATTTAATATGTTTAAATCTTACATTTATTCCCCGACTAAAGTGAATGAAATTAAATTTATTAATGATTAGCAATTCATTTTTGTTATGGTTGTAATCATTATGATCACAATATAAAGAAAAAGACTAAAATTTATTATAGTAGAAAACATTGGCACAATTTATGACAAAATTTTATTTGGTTATTTATAGATTTTACGAATTTATAAATAAAAATAAAATAAAAACACCAAATTAAAATAATTGGACTAATCAATTTCCCTGATGGGGCATAAAATATATTAAAAAAAAGTACTATCTCTAGTGGAATATTATGGAATATTAATTATTTAATAGCTTAGGAATATTTTTATTGTAAAAAATTGTTGAACGGGCTTTGAATTTTTATGATGAATGTTTTTATAATTTTTTTTTTTCCGTGGGGTGTTTGTTTTTAGATATAATAATATTTGTTAGGTTTAATTATTTTTAGATTTTACGAATTTACAAATTATCATTAAATGATGCAACAACGTGATTGCGACATGTGAACTTGGCTATCTAATTTTCTGTCACGTGGATTATCATATCTAATTTTACACCATGTGTCCAATTAAAAACTCTCTTTTAGTACATTAATGGAGTGATGTGATTACGACATGTGGACTTAACTATTTATAATTTTTTTGCCATGTGGAATACCTTATTTAATCTTACGCCATGTGTCAAATTGAAAACTCTCTTTTAATATAGAGTGAACCACAAAACAAGTCATTCAACTATTGTTTAATTTCATCACAGGTTATCAATCAAATTTATTCCCAAAATTGGTTATCGTACTAAACTAAAAAATTCTTCCGAGATCATTCTGTTAAATTTAGCCATTAAATAGTGACAAAAAGTTATTTTTTACATGATTTTGTGTTCAGGGGTATCTTTGTTATTGTATATTTTTATATTTTTAGATTTTTTTTTTTTATTTTTTCACAATGCTTTCCTAACTTATATGTTGGTACTAGCATAATTACTAAGTTGAAGAATTAATTTACCTTTTGTATTTTAACTTCTAGATTATAAAAAAAATTAAAAATAAAGAAAATGAAGAAAAAAAAATCGAGTTTGAAGTAAGGTGATCTTAAAAGATGGAAGACGATCACTCTGGTTTGATAATTGGCCGGAGAAAGACATATTTTGGGATGTTTATGATGGAGAGCCACCGTTTCCAAACCTTCCATTAGAGAGTTTTTTGGGAAAACAAAACTCTTTGTTGGCTGGAATGTATATATCAAGCCATTAATGCTGAAGTAATGGTATTTCTTGAAGTTCTTGAAATTAATTTTTCAAATAATAATCACTTGCTTGTATGGCAGCACACACCACAGAGATAATTTATTGTCAAGACTGTCTATGAAGCCCTCCGTGTCCGAAGACATGAAAATGCTTTGTGAAAGAATGTGTGGCACATGATCATTCCTGTTCACGTTTCTTTCTTTTTATGAAAGCTGCGCAACAATCTCCCCCCATTTCCTGAAGTTCTTTGCTCCTTTGTAATTCAGATTTTCCAACAATTTGCTGCATTTGTGGAAAATATTCAAACAACGTAGTTCATTGCTTCTATAGCTATGAGTTTGCGGCTCAAAATCGGCACTCTCTTGAACTTAGATTAGCGTGGGAGCACAAGTTTGTTAAACTTGCTGCAAAAATGGTGGAACAAAGGCAGAATCACCATCACAAGATGTTCCCTAATCAAATTGATTCCTTCCTTTGTGCTGTGAGAATTTTGGAAAGTAAGAAATAAGCGATCATTGAAGGTACTAAACTTGCTATAGGTACTTTAATTTTTTTCATCACATATATTATTCGAGATTTGATAATTTCTCATGATCTGAAATCCCAAAATCAATATGAAAATAACTTCCTTGCGAATACTTTTGGTATACATTTGTCTCGATCTCTTCAAAGAAAAAATGTCAAGTGAAATAAATTTTACCTAATCCAATCTCATATATTTTAAACTCAGATGATTACTCTGTGTTTAATGATGCGGGCTATAGATTTATTATTAGTGGAGAAGACGGTGTTTTTCAGTATGGAGAGAGTGGTTATTTTGGGGGAGGAGATAGTTTGATGGCTGAAGTATTTGCTATTCTTTATGGTTTGAGGAAATGTGAGTTGCTACACCCATCAAATATCACTATACAAATAGACAACAAAATGCTCTGATAAGCATGAAGGCGTTCCGGGAAAATACTACTTTTAAATAATTAAAATGAATTCTATCATATATAAGAAAGGTTTTTCTATCACACATATTACAGATAAACCAGCAAAGGATGCAACACTTGGAATCTCTACGACCTATTTTAGTTTTTCCTCTTTATCCCGTTATGTAAAGGGATTGTTGGTCGATCAAAAGTCTTTTCCCTATTTACGTAATCAGTTTTCATAGCTAAACATAGGCAATTTTATACTCTGTCATTTTATTTTTTCCATGCATTTTTAAGTAATATCGAGGACATACCCGTCAGGTATCACCCTGGTTAAAAAAAAATGACCAAAGTAGATATTTGCAAAATATATATAAAATAGAACATTCATTGGACCTCATAGTAATTAATTATTCCTTTTTAAATAAAATACTACCTTTTGCTAAAGGAGGGTTGACCTTCATCAACCCAAAAAAGCACACAATAATATCATAGTCCCGTAGGAAAGATATTTCATGAATCTGATGTGGCATCATCTAATTGGTAGCGACACCTCTCTGGACGTGGCGCCAGTAGGAAATCTCATTTTAATTCTCCCAAAATAAAATACAGTACATAATAATAATCTCAGTTATTAATGACGTTACGTTACTACTAAAACCCTTTTTTTTTGTTTTTTTGTTTTTGCTCATCGCCATTTTTTTCTAAAACCAAAAAAAGAAAAGGAAACGGAAAAAATAAAATAAAAATAACCCTTCAAGATTTTCTTCTCTCTCTCGTCGACTGTTTCACCCGATCTGCAGCAATTCAGTTGATTGATTGAAGAAAGTGAAGGATCTTATCCGATTCCTCTCTTCCTCTTCCTGTAAGTATGAAGAATGCATTCCCAAACGCTTGTTTAGTCTTTTTAGGATTTTACGCTGATTAGATTATGTTTGGTTATCGGTTCACGTTTTTCTTTACTTTTCTGTTGTTGTTGAAATTTGACAATTTTTTTGGTTTCTTTTGGTAATGAATTAGGGACGAAGGATACGGTTCAGGAGTGGCTTGATAAAAGATTTTGCATTTCCGGTTGAATTTGATTCCAAATTGACGATGAAGAACACTGAGCGTCTCGCTAATCTTGCTTTACTAGGTCAGTTTTGTTTTTCTTTTTCTTGATTATTTTGAAGGATTTAAGTTTTCTTTTTGCTGGTGGGGTTCTGTTGTTAGCCGGTTGAGATTGTAACTGTCCATTTTTCTATCCGGTGTCTTCTTAGTTAGGTGATTCTCTTGTTTTGTTTTCATTTGGTCTTATAGTTAATGTATGATGGACTTTGCGCATTTTTCTTGATTCTGTTATGCAAAGTTGTAGGGTATTTCTTTTTGTTTCTATTTGAATTTGAAGGATTAAAGGGATTAAGATTACTGATCTTGGAAGCCGTATTTGGTCCGCATATGTGCATATGTGTATGTGTACTCTACCGTTAATTGTAAAGCTATCTCATATGGTTAAGAATGAACTGTAAAAGAATAAGAAACATGCTAGTTTCTGAGAATACCGACTGAACTTGGCTTAATTGGTAGAATTCTTGTCCAAAGATAAAAATTGATTGCCTCTTTCCATGACTCAGTGCTTGCAATGATGTGTATTGCTGGCAAAGCCATTTTTGGATTGTTATGTCTATAGTGGGTCAGCTTCCTATGTGTGATCTTCTCTTCAGATGGTGTAAATATTTTACCAAGAGTGTGAGCTGTTCTTTGGAAGTAAGCTTCTCTAATAGGGGCTTTTTGCTATTTCTTCACCCTTTCAGATCTTCACCTTTTGATGATATCCTTTGTGTTTTTGGTACTGTGCAATAAGGATTCTTTCATTGCGGCGTTTAATTTTGTGTCGTTTTTTTTTTTGGGGGTGGAATATTCAGCTTGACAAGTTCTCTTTACTAAGTGGTCTTCCTCGGAGAGATTGTCTGCCCCATTCCCCTGTTTCTTCTGGATTTATAATCTTGTTTAGCTATTCAGTTACTCTCATTCGTTGGGTGATTCATTTTTCTTTTGTTGACAGGCCTTTGTGACAAAAAGGCCTGGTAACACCAACACATTTATTCTCATGTATTACTCGTTCATTTTAATGTAGAATTATTATTCACTTGAAACCCTATGTATTTCTTTGGCTGAATTCCTGTGCTTAGTACATATTATTGGTGTCATCATCATTATTTATTATTATTCTTAGTATTATTATATACTGTACAATAATTGGCAATAATTTGGTTTTACTGTTTCATTGCCTGCAGGTCTGACTTTGGCACCACTTGTTGTGAAGGTGGACCCAAATTTAAATGTCGTTTTAACTGCTTGCCTGACTGTTTTTGTTGGTTGCTTCCGATCTGTGAAGCCAACTCCTCCATCAGTAAGTGAAATTCCATCTGGTGTTGTCTATGACCTTTTTGAAAATCTTGTTAAAGTTGACGTGAGTAATATTATAATTTTATTTTATTTTTGAAATTTTGTAGGAGACGATGTCTAATGAACATGCAATGAGATTTCCTCTGGTGGGCAGTGCGATGCTGTTGTCATTGTTCTTGCTTTTTAAGTTTCTATCAAAGGACTTGGTTAATGCTGTATTGACATGCTACTTCTTTGTACTTGGGATCGTCGCTCTTTCGTATGTTCTCTCCGTATGGATCATCCTGCTTTGTTATGTTTCTCATACGAATTGTTATTATTCATTTGACAAAATAGCACTAAATGGCCTTAATTTACCTTTTGTAGCGCAACATTGTTACCTGCAATCAAACGGTTTTTGCCTAACCATTGGAATGATGACCTGATTGTTTGGCGCTTTCCTTACATCCGCTGTGAGTAATTGTTACTTTGCTCTTTCTGTTTGCATGATTCTTTATGTTGAATAGCATTAAATATTGATTGGTATATGCCGACTCTTCCACATAGTGGGATAAAGGCTATGTTGTTCCGTTGTTCCACTACTCTGTGAATATTGATTGTCATACTTTGTAACAATATAGTTTATGAACTTTGGCTAATCAGTATGGTAACTTAAGATAATTTCGGAATTTTTAAGTAAAGATTTTTATTGTACTTATGTACCCACTCTTGATTTTGAGCTTAGTCAATATTACTGAGCTTTCTCTTTATTTTTTTGATATGCTCGTATGCACGCAAAATACTTCAGTTCCACATGTTGCATTGCAGTAAAACATCTTCCATGGAAATAGGAGGAAGTCATATTTAGATGTACTATCTGTTGTTTTTTCTTGCTGCTAATTCCCTCTACTTTAAAAGAATACCTATGATCATGTTACATTTTAGTTTCTTGAGGTTTCTCGATCTTCCTGGTTTTTAACTCATGACGCGATTACTTTATTGTTTGATAACCAAAGGGGCTCCAACATTACTGGGTTTTATGAGTGGGCATATTGTAATATAAAGTATTGAGTAGGGTGCTCAGACTGCCGTATCATTTTGCCGTATCTTTACTGTTGGAAATATTTTAGGGAACTTTGCAGTGCTAAGTTTCATCTTCTCAGAATGTACAGCTGCATTAATCTCTCTGCACGGCTCTATTGAACTTACTCTTTCTTCTTCTTTGATCTGCATCACACCACGGTGTTTGTACACTTAGGATTAATAGTTTTGTTTGCATACTCGTTCAACAGCTTTGGAGGTTGAGTTTACAAGATCACAACTTGTTGCTGCAATTCCTGGAACGTTCTTTTGTGCATGGTATGCTAAACAGAAACATTGGCTGGCAAATAACGTGTTGGGGCTTGCTTTCTGCATTCAGGTTATAATTACAGTGATCCCATGATAGCCTTTTGATAATGTTGAGATTCTTTATCTGGTTAGCATAAATGTCTAATAGAAGTATGACTGTATCTGGGATGGTCTTTATGGCCCATTTTCATGTGTTTCATAGGGAGTGTTTCTGCTTTTCCCCTCAAAGTTAATTACATGTTAAAGATTGTTTTCAGGAACAAAATCAAGGGACCTTCCTGAGAATATTTTATCTCCATTTATGAGTATTGAATTTATTTTCATGCATTGTCTTATCATCAGTTTCCTCTTTGATATGTTTTGTGGATTTGGTGGTCTTATCATCAGTTTTCTCTTTGATATGTTTTGTGGATTTGGCTATTTACTCTCTCAGTCAATGTGTCTGGATGCTTTGTTGTGATTATTCCATTGTCTATGGTTCAAAAATACTAGATCGGTTGGATGTCTCATGTTTTTGTTCATTTTGTTAAATTACATGTCCACTCGTACTTGGACCAGAAATGTATTGGATGACTGGTTAAAAAAAAGATTGGAATGGAAATTGTCTTACTAGGTGTCAGTTACATTTCTGGTGTATTTTATGACTTGATGAAATATTGACTAATCTGTTTGCTGCCATTACTCTTTTGGTTCAAACTTTTGGACTCATGGTATAAATGTGACATAACGGTTTGGACATGTGATTTATTAGTACTAGTATTGCGAATGTGCTCACTGTTTCTCCAAATGATTTTCAGGGGATTGAAATGCTTTCTCTTGGCTCATTTAAGACTGGTGCCATTCTTTTGGTAAGTATTTGAACTTTTTGACTTCACCTGCACTGGCTTTTATATGCAATCGTGTCTGCAGATGAACATGGAAACACTATTTGTAGTGGTTCATTCTCGAAGATAAAAAATAACGCAGTTTTGTTTTGCTAATCTTCAGGTCGGACTTTTCTTTTATGACATTTTCTGGGTATTCTTTACCCCTGTGATGGTCAGTGTTGCCAAATCTTTTGATGCTCCTATCAAGGTTAGTGTGGTTGTCCATTACTGCCTTAACAAAATTTTCACGTTGACAATTTGCTTTTGCAAGCTTTGGACCAAAGTGCAACTATAATTGTTATATATTTTCTTCAGCTTTTGTTCCCAACTGCTGATGCCACACGTCCATATTCAATGCTGGGCCTTGGGGATATAGTAATTCCTGGTATGATATCTCTTATTTTTTTGTTCCTAATCTTTTCGGGTTTCTTGGAAATATGATCTCTTTGTTTTTCGAACTGGGAAATTATGCTGGATACGGATGAGTATGTGAATTGCTTCCACTGACTTACTGTTCAAACTTTGAATGAGCACTAGATTAAAGATCTTAGTGTGTTCTCCTTTGCAGCAATGGATGATGTTGGTCCTGAATTGAGCTCAAGTTCTATTTTGTGATCATGGCTTTGTTTTATTTGTCCACTGCCAATCTGTTGTTAGTACTTTTCTGCCAGTGTTTACTCAACTTACGGTTCTTAATATCTACATTTTCTAGGCATCTTTGTGGCCTTGGCATTGCGGTTTGATGTGTCCCGAGGGAATGGTATACAATACTTCAAGAGTGCTTTTCTAGGGTATACTGTGGGTTTGGTCCTGACAATCTTTGTCATGAATTGGTTTCAAGCTGCCCAGGTGGGTTCAGTGTTAAGATGTGTATATTCTCTATGATTATGATGTGCAAAGTAGGTGTGTCATTTTGAGGTCTATGAGCAGGATATTACCATGTGACAGTGAGGTTTATAGGTGTATTTTCAGTGTTGTTTTCTTTCTTTTCTTTTCTTTTTTTTTTTTTTTGTTTTTTGTTTTTTTGGAATCTAATGTGTCTGTTTGTGTTCATTGGGTTTTCTTTCAGCCTGCACTCTTGTACATTGTACCAGCTGTGATTGGATTTTTAGCTGCACATGTAATTTGGAAGGGAGATGTAAAACCAGTAAGTTTTACTGTACTGAATCTATTCTCCTGATCTAAAACACACGATTTCTTATACTGTCCCTGGCTCGATGAGATTGATGGCCCCCTCTGATTGATTCGTTATAACTTCGTGGTATGATAAAGATATGCCATAATTTAGTCAAGTTAAAGTAGTCTAATAGATTTGAGTTTTGGTGCGTGTCCTCTACCAAGGTTTGACTGGAGAAACCAAACACTATAGCCTGAAGGAATTACTTTCTGATATCCTTCAAAAATACAAAACTTCACTGAAGATTTTCAACTAGTTTTTGTGATTGTATTCGAGTTTCATCAGTTGTCAATTGTACTTGAGGCAGATGAATTTAGATTCTTTAAGAGCTTATTATATTTTGTTGTTGCTATTAAAGTTTTTAAGGCCCTGGCACGCTGTACTAGTTAGAATATTTAAGGACACCTGAGGGATCTAGTCTAGTGTAATAGTCCTCTGGAGATGTTTTAGATGTGAAAATTAGAGAAATGTGCGAGCATAGTTTGGTTGAAATGGTGCAAGACTATGGTTGACTTGAACTGAAAGACGCAGGGGAATACATAAAAGATTTGAGGAATGAACAGTTAAAAAGACATACATACATTTAAACTTTAAAGGGGATTCAGTATAATAGTGAAATATTGTGGACATAACTTTTCGCACTGGGATATTACAAATTAGTAAAGGTACACGATTAAAAGTTAGCCAATCAAGAAGTGATCTTAGACTGGATTCATATAGTTGTTTAAGTGCACTGATTTTCATAATGGAACTGGATTACTTCTTGGTGTGACGAATTTTCATGTTGATCCCTAAATATTCTACTGTTTTGTACACAACGTATGGCATCTGTTTGTAAATGTAAGGTTGCAATTGGCTAGTGTTGTTCTTGTCTCCGGTGGTTCTGTTTAGAATGGTCATGAGCCATTATAAATTGAACTGTAACCACGGGAGAGTTCTGTTTAGAATGGTCATTGCTACTGAATTTGAAATGCGATATCTTTTGGGGAGATTTGGTTGACTTCAATAATTTTTCTGCAAACACTGTAAGATCTGTTCATATTGTAGTTATTTTTTTGGTATGAGAATGTTTATTAACCTTTTAAGCTTCTTCTGCAGTTGTTGGAATTTGACGAGTCTAAAACTTCAAGTAGTCAAGAAGATGGTGACGGCAAATTGAGCAAGAAAGTAGAGTAGGTCAAACAACCCTTCAAAGAAGCAATACCAGAAAATAGTCCCAGAGGGTTGATAAGGCGTTAAAACTGTATCACTCACAAATTCTCCTGGCAGAATGTTGTACCAGATTTTGTGATTTAGGATAAAATCCAATAGATGATTTCTAGGAGGCTTTATAGTAAGAACTAGTCGAAACCCTTACTTTTCTTATGGTCAATTCAAAGGACTTGAAAAATTAATTTCTGGATTTTTAGTTCAAATTTTTATTTTTTTTTCACTCGTGTTTTTGCTGGAGAATAGTATCAGTTTACATATTCATAATCAAAGGCAATAAAGTTACAACTAAATTGGAGTTGGGGCCTTCGTTGCAAACCTAAACAGGTGTCTATTTGGCCATGAGCGCTCTTCTTTATAAACATAGCGAGCCAGAAAGTTGTCTGAAAATGTGATTTCCGGGGAGTTTAATGTAAATGAAGGTAAAGTAACGAGTTTTGTTTTTTTGAAATGGTGTAAAGTAACGAGTTATTTTCATGTGTTTGTTTACATTAGCAATTTTATTTGGAAAATAAAGATGGAAAACTTAAATAAGGGTAGAGGAGCGTCATTGCAGATTTGCAGTAAAACATTTTGAGACATCTCCCCGGAGAAATAAAATCCATGATTCAGTTATACATTTTTTATTGAACCATCGAATTTAAGTTTTTTTTTTTTTAATAGACTCTTACGTATCCCAATTTAAGTCCATCTAATAGAAATTTGACATAATACCATAACAAATCTATCTGCACGTAGTTTACTAATTATTTTTTAAGAAATTAATAAAATTAAATTAGCATTAACAAAGGCAAGTGTTTGAATAATAATGTAGGATACTAATCTAATTATTTTTGTAGTAGTGAGCTTCACATATACATTTGCTTTTACTTTTTTCTTCTTTTCTTTTTTTGGGTGAAAACCCGGGGTTATTTTTCACCCGTATCCATATCAAGTCTTTTTTTAATTTCCTTGGAAGAACCATAAAACTTTCCCCAAAGTACCAGTCAAAGTACAAGTCCAACTGTGAAAAGAACCATGACGAAGCATGGATCTGCATGGTGTTCAGGACGGGCGGCGGTGATGACCTAGGCGGCGGCGGATAGTCTAAAACCTGCAAGACATAGCCTCGGTGTCTCCCGAGGGGACTCTCCGATACTTAACTCAATAAAGGAATAAAGATAATAGAGAGAAAGTAATGTGTATCGTGTGTAAAAGGTGTAGAAAATAGGTAGAAGATGTGTATTATGGGAAAGGCACCACCTCTTTATATAGAGTGGTGTTACCTATTTTCTGAAACCCTAGCGGAATAGGTTTAGCCGGTGGTTTAATCTCCAAGTAACCTAACCCAAGGCCCAATAGGCCTAGGGTTCAGTTTGGACTCGACAAGTGCCTCTAGCAAGTCATATTCTCGAGGTTCGACGAGAAGAATATGGGTTGCTACGAGTGTTGATGTCTTCTCGAGTTTCGTGGTGTTGCCCCAGTTCTCGAACTCTTTCGTTCTCGGGTGTCACCTATATAAGATAAAGAGAGTAGAATGCCTCGATGAGGTCTTTATTGTTAGAGAGTTCCTTGTTTGCGTGGTGGACCGCGAGAATCCTTGTTTGCGCGGTTGACCGCGAGTATCATTGTTTGCGCGGTGGACCGCGAGAATCCTTGTTGGCCCGGTGGATCGCGATTATCCTTGTCTGCGCGGTGGACCGTGAGTATCCTTGTCTACGCGGTGGACTGCGACTGTGTAGATCATTGAGATGCAATACACGATAATAATGACATGTAGTAATAAGATGCTCCTAAGAAATATCCGTTCAAGCAGAGGATGTTAGGATGATCTCTCAAGTTCCTTGCCCCTAGGGTTTTTTCCAGTTTGTGTCCCGAGTACGTTTTCCTCGTTGAAGGCAACCCCGAGGTGATTTTCCTCATTGCAGGGTGATGAGAATTTTCTCCAGAGGGTTGATTCCTCGAAAGATTCCTTTGATCGTGCTCAAAAAGATATCCTGATATGATAGTAATATGATAATGATATTAGATATTAAAGCATGAAAAGATTTTAGAAATACCTTGATCTTGTAATAAATTGATTATTCGAGAAAGTATTACCTCGATTCCGAGAAGGTAATAGTTGAGTAGATAAAAGTCGAAATACATCTTCTCGAACACTTTAAGTAGTAGTATGGTGCTCGAGGAATGGTTGCCCCTTCGAGAAGATGTATCTCTCGAAACTCCAATCTTCGAAATTGCCCTTTGCTAATCTGCAAAATTTTAAAATCTTTAGGGACCAAATAATTAAAATGATTAGGGATTAAGTAGCAATTCTCAAATTGAGGAATTGTTCTCGGTTGAATATTCTGCCCCTTTTGACGGATTTTGAACTCCAGGGACTGTTCTTCTCGATCAGCTGTGGAGCAAGTGCGGCTCCTCGAATTCTTTGTGCAACTGAAAACTTCTTTGTACTACTTGTCGACTGACGTCTTCTTGGTCAAACGAAGATAATTTTTTGCAAGATCTTCTAGTTGCAAAATTGTAGCAAAGAATTAACACCGAGGCTGCGAAAGATACAAAAGATTCTGTGCTTCGCTAAAAAATTTATTTGGTTGTGAAGACCAAACAAATCGGTACCTTACACTTGATGAAGTATGGATCTACACGATGCTCAGGACGGGCGGCGATGATGACCTAGGCGGCGGCAGACGGTCTAAAACATGCAAGACAGAGCCTCGGATGTCTCCCCAGGATAGGCTCTCTGATGCTTAAGTCAACAAAGGAATAAAGATAATTGAGAGAGAGGGATGTGTATCGTGTGTAGAAGGTGTAGAAGATAGGTAAAAGATGTGTATTATGGGAGAGGCACCACCTCTTTATATAAAAGTGGTGTTACTTGTTTCTCGAAACCCTAGCGAAATAATAGTGACTTAATTTTCAAGTAATCTAATCCTAGGTGGATTCAGTTTGAACTCGTCAAACCAATTTTCTTCTGTTTTTTTTTTTTTTTTTCTGAAAAGCAAGCAATTCATTTTGATCAACACACAGCGTACAGTGAACTTGAACAATAGAATTCATGTACTAACGAAGGTAATGTAGCGACGATATTGTACATAATGGATGGATGATATTATCCAGAAAGTCGATTGACAAGTGGAAACAATCATCATCCGAAAACACAACCGCAGAACTAATTCGCTCTTTGTGTTAATCAAATAATTTTGTGCCGTAGGAAAAATGCAACCAGTTTGATAAGTTACTAACTTAATTATCATGTGTAATGTGGGTGTTTATAAATTTTAGAATACCTTATTTTAATTTAATAATTGTTATTAATGTTAATCATTCCAACGACTATTAAAGTAGACAGGACTACTGAATTATTCAGCCTACTGAACCGTAATCGCCCCCTAAAACCATTTGCATTCATTTCTCAAACTATATCATCAAAATCTACATGTTATTTTTTCATTTATTTGACTTATTTTAATTTCATATATCAATTCTTCATAAAAAGTGAAATCATAAAAATGTTTTGACGTTTGCGGATCGTCATCTAAATTAGTGTTATAAATTCATTGCTAATTAACATTACATTACCATCAACCAATTACGTTTATATATGCTATCAATTCTCATCAATCAATACACTAATTTTGAACACTAATTAGTTGACTGTGGTTAATTTTGGGAAATAATATCTTCCCATACCAAAAAAAACAAAAAGAACTATCCAAGTTATTGTGAAGATACCGACTAAATTAACTCGGAAAACAAATACCGCTAAGTTTGTACTAAATCAAAAATTCAAAATTCCTGAAAAACTGTTGATACATGCAAGAAAAGTTTACATAAAATTTTAAATACGGATGGTTATGATCCATTCGCCTCTCAAAATTCCGTTCACAAATCATTATCTTTTCTGAAAATACAAAAAGTTACATGTCACGAATCTGATTTTACTAAAACTCACATGCATATGGATGATTCTTATTAAGTATATCCTACAAATTAATGAATATATGTACAGCACAAATCAATTATGTCCTCGGCTGTTGCTTGCAACAGATTTGGAATTGAACTGATTGTTTCAACCTTAATGGTCATTCTTGGATTTCTTGCGCTTTTCTTCCCCGATGAATATCGAGGTGTTCTTCAGCCTTTTTCTTTTGTTTTTTTTCCCTCCCTCCTTTCGATTTCACATTGTATGCATCCATTGTACGTAGATCCGTTCCACTGAATTAAGCTTCTGACATGGTTTCAAAACTTTCAATTATCAAATGTTACCAGTTATACTCTGGGACTAAAGCGGGCGCGCAGTTGTTCAAATTAATTAGTTATACTAATAAACCTTGGACTAAAAAGATGGGGGAGGGAATTTAATATACAAATAGGTCATCATCACGGCATATATTATCGTTTAAACGGATCTAGCTTTTACTCCAATTAGATTTAATCTTCTCGTTGTTGTTTTGTTGGGGTTATTTATTTATTTTTTATTATTATTCTGAGTAATTTTTGGGTGAAAAAACGTTTTTTTGGTTGTACGCTAATTAATTCCTACCCAGATGGCTGTGGTGGGTCGTAGAAAGAGATTCCTGGGTTTCACAGAGGAGGAATTGGTCGGGTATTACCTGAAGAACAAGATTCTGGGGAAGCTTTCCGACAGTGAATCCAAGCGCATCCCTGAACTTGACTTGTATGGCACCGGCGAACTCCCGTCCGGTAGTGGTAGTATTTCGGTCTTCCGGGACATGATCCAAGGCCGCTACTACCAAGGCGATTTTCAATGGAAATTTGTGGACGATGGTACCTCCCGGAAATATGTTCTTTACGTCTTCACGAAACTAAACCCAGATAATAATAACAATCGTCTGGTTGCTGGATGTGGAAATTGGCACCCAAGCTCTGAGATTGAAGAGATTGTCCATGATGATTCTATACCAGGCTACAAGAGATCTTTCACCTTCACTTACGTAGACAAAACTCCGCCATTATTGCGAAAACCTACATGGACTATGATCGAGTACTCCATCAATCCGGCTGTTCATGGAATCGGCAACGATTATGTTCTGTGTAAGTTATTTAGGAGCAGTGGCTGCCCCAGCTCAAGTAACCCTAACAATCCTCCAATTCGGCGTGTTCCGGGTTGGTTCCCCACCAGGGATGATCAACGGCTCATGGGTTTCTTTACTAAATGTTCGGTCCAAGGTGAGGAAGGCTTGTTGGTGATCGATAACACTAGTTATAGTAACTTCGCGAGTACGAGTTTTGTTGAAAAGTTGGGACTGTCGATTACCCCGCTTAATGAGACTCAGCAATCTCTTCACCGGTCGCATGGAGGGACTTGCTTTGATAGATGTGGAGTGATCAAGGTGGATGGGGTGGTGAAGTTGAAATTTTCCATCGGCGATTACGCTGATGAAGTGAGTAGTTTTGTTTCGCCGCAGCTCAGTGCGGTTGATGTTTTGCTAGGTCGACCTAGACAGTATGATAGGCGTGTTACTCATGACGGGTTCTCCAACAAGTATCACTTTGTGTTCCGCCAAGTACCTATTACTCTTGAACCTATGTGGGATGAACACTTGCATGGTAACAGAAAAAATAAAAAGAAATAACAACAAGAAACCGAGAACTTTTGTGGAAGAGGAAGCTCAAGCGAGAAGATTTATAGATGAGAATCTTAAACATCTGGGAGTCGATCCAAATCATTTGATAGATACTGAAATCTTCCGTTCACCACGGATAAAATAGATAGGAATAGATTATATGGATACTGAAAGTTTTCGTTTGATGTTATTATGGACCTATCAAGTTTCTCTGTTTGTTTTGCAGCTTATATTTTTAATAATATGTGTTTCTTCAGATAACCATGCAGTCTGGATTATTTTGGGCTATTGTGAACTCTTTACCAACATTTCTGATTTGATATGGTTGCGGCCTTTTCTTTTACTTGTTTGCGATGTTGTTCTTAAGGTCTGGATGTTAAAGTCATCTACAATCCTGTTATTTGCAAATCCCTTTGCAAGCTTATATGAGAGTTAAAGCATAAATGTTTCATTCCAATACTGGCGATTAAGTAGAACTAAATCTCTGGTATGAGTGTTGCGCAATTGTATAAATGTCCCATTCCAGTAAAGGCAAGTAATGGCAATTTTAGGACTAATCTTTATCGTTATCTTTAGCTTTACCTAGTGTATAGCACAACCTGTATTCCGCGCATGTGCGGAGTTTAAATTATGCCCTATATTGGACATATGCGGGAGTTAAAATTGTGCCTTTTATTGGAGAAATACATATATATATATATATTTATATATATTGAATGAGAGTTTTCAATCGGACATATGGTAATTCACTTGGTAAAAATTTAGATAGCCGAATCCACATGTCGCAACCACATCACTTGATTATTTAATGGTAATTTTTGTAATGTAAATTATAAATTATTTATAAAAGTAAATTAAATAGAACATACAAAAACTTCAATCAAAATATATAAAAGTAAATTAATAATTTGCCGTCTCCACTGTATTTCCAAGGACGCGGACAACCTTGTCTTGGTGCGCGATATTTTTTTTTTTGAGTAAAGGAAATTTATTTTATTGAAGTGTAGAGAAAAATGAGTTTTTGTCACACTGTTTTGCTAAATTATGCTCTAATTCTAAACTATTTCTACTTACTTTACTAACTATAAAGGACCGATTTACGATTTGTTGGTGGAGAATTTCCTTTATTATATCCCGAATTTCTACTGCGGCCTTTTCTGGTTGTGGTGCGCGACATCTTTCATTTGCCTCGGCCGACTGCGAACAAAAAGTTTGAACTGAATTTATTTTTTTCAAAAATAAAATTTGATGGAGAAACAAAAAGCAAAAAAAAATGCTTTTTTTTAGAGAGTTTGCATGAGTTCGCAATCTCAATAAGGGGAAAAAAGAGTGATTATACGACTTCCAGTTATATATTTCTTTATAAGACCATATTTTTTTTCGTGGCTCTCAAAATGGGTGGAGATTGAAAAAAACTATGTTATTTTTATTTTTTTTTTCTCGATTGGGGAAAAGTATATTTTTTTTTTCATTTTGAAGTAGGAAAAAATTGGAGGTATTGAGAAACTAACTCAATAATGTTCAAGGAGAAAGTGACCAAAACCAAAAAAAAAAAAAAAGAGAGAGAGAGAGAAAAGAACCAAATGAATTACCCGCGATAAAATAATTTGGAAAAGAAAAGAAATTATACCTATTTTTTTGGATTTATTTCTTTTGTTTAATCAACAATACAACACCATTGGAATGTGATCTTCGGTGTTGAGCTTAAAAAAAAAAAGAAGAAAAGTTTCTCCATCATATACTAAAAGCTAATCGTGAAAAAATTGTTATCGTGATAAAATAATTTGGCATAAGTTTATAATGAAGATGGTAAATTATGAAAAACTTTTTATGATTATGATGGTTTTAATTTCAGTTAGCGGTGCTTCAATTGAAAATATTTTAATTGTATATAATATAGTTTTTTCTCCTTAATGGGTAATATTAATGAATGATTAATGTTTATGATGTTGTATAAAAATTATAAAAGCAAAAAGTAAAATAATAATAAGAATAATACTAATAATTTAATTATATATTAATAGGCAAAATTTCTAATAATATAACAATATATTATATTATGTATTATATTATTGTAAAATAATATAATAAATTAATAAATAATATAATATATTCATTGTATTTTTTCCATCTAATATAATAGTAGAAAATGTGTTGACGTTATGATGATGAAACAAAATGTGGAGATCAGTAGAGAGAAAGTTTACCAAAATGAGAAAAAATAAAGGTGTTTACGAGAGACAAAAAATAGAAGGAAAACATATTTAGAAATTAAAAATAATTATATGGAGGAAAAATTATGTAAAGAATAAGAAAAATAAAAAAAAAGAGATAATAGTGAAAAATAAAATAATTATTACAAATTTTTCAAAAAATGAAATTTTAAAGAGAGCTCATCAAATTTAGGAAAAAAAACAATGAAGACTATGAAACCAAGGGGAAAAAAAAAGTAAGCACTATATTATAGGAAAAATATATGAACAAACTTCTAAAGAAAGTTCCATAAGGTATATCGAGAGGTGGAAAAATAAAGATAAGTTTATGAAAAGAAATAATGAGAAAACTTTTTTGTTATAAGGTGAGTCTAAAAAATATGACACGGCTAGATTGGAGAGATAATTATGAAAAATTAAGAGAATAATTTAAAAGATATAAAGTCATATCAATACCACGAAAAAAGATGGATAACAAGTTACATTGCACGATTCAAATATTCTAATTCATTCCAAATGTAGTTAAATAACAAAACACATTGACATTTATAGTTGCACATTTGCAATTTATATCATTATTAATATTATTTTTTACATATATCACTCTATCGGAAATGTTATAATCATTACATCATTAAGCTCATATATACATTGAACAGTCAGCATAACGTGTGGGGTAAACATTAGTATATATTAAAGGAGAGTTTCTCTATATATATTAAAGGAGAGTTTTCAATCGGACACATGGCGTAAAATTAGAGAGTGTAATCCACATAGCAAAAAATTAGATAGCAGAGTCCACATGTCGCAACCACATCACTCCACCATCTAATGGTAATTTTTTATTTGTAAATCCATAAAATTTATAAATAAAAAGTTTTACCCGATTTAATTTTTTCCATTAACCATAATAAGAGAACTAAACTAATATGAATAGATCGGTGTCTTCACCTTTAACACTGCCGAAAAAAAGCCTAATAAGGAGAAAAGACCAAAAAAAAAAACCTAACAAGAGAAAAGACCCTGCCAAACAATGAACAAACATAAATTTCTTACACTCACAACCATAAAATGATCATTTTCTAGATTTAATATTACTAAAGAATGACGGCAAAAAAAATAAAAAAAATAAAATTACCTATTCAGAAAATTTAAGATCGAAGAATAGTATTTCACTTTCACCTTTAAAACCACGAAAAAAAGAAAATTAAAATTGCCGATTTGAAAAATTGTCTTTCTGATACAAAACCCTATAGATATCTTTTCAAGGTGAATTGCCTCAGCTATATAAATCCCATAAATATTTTTTTACGTTGATTAATATTTTATTCGGTGTCCCTTACATTTTCTAGCTAATTAGTTTAACAAATTTTTTAAGGATTATTAATTTTTTTTGTGTGAGAGAACAAGTATCAAATTTAAACATAATCAAATCTTAGTGTCAAATAAAATAATTTGTTTTAAAAAAGTATAAGAAATAAGTATTTAAATTACTTATAATACTAATACTAACACGTCCATATAAAAAAATACCTATTTTTTATTGCCCAGAATCAAAATCGTTTCATGATTGTTAAGAAAATTAATACTCCATACTGTTACTAAATAGTTTTTTTTGCCGATTTCTTTTCTTATGCATCTTGGAATCAAATTTGGCATACAATTTTCATCGATGAATCTTTTAATATTGATTAATATTGATAATCTATAGAAAAATATATAAAAAAGAATTAATTAGATAATTCATTATAGGTTTTCTCTATGATATAATGATAGAAAGAGTATATGTTACGATTATAAAACAGAATATAGATCAATAGCGAGAAAGTTTTTCCAAAATGAGAAAAATAAATATATTTCTTTTTGAGAGACACAAAGGAAAAGAGAATATATATATATATATAAAAACCCGAGATAATAGTGAAAAATGAAATAATTGTTACTAATTTTTCATGATGGGAAAAAATGAAGACTATGCAACCAAGCGAAAAAAAAAGAAAATAAGTACTATATTAAAGGAAAAATATACGAACAAACTTCTAAAGTAAGATTGCAAAAAGTATATAGAGAGATGGTAAATAAAGATAAGTTTATGAACTATTAAGAAAATACTCTAAAAAGATATAAAGTCGTAAATCAATAAAACAAAAAAAGGACAACAAGTTCCATTAGATGATTTCAAATATCATAAATTACTAAAAATGTACTTAAAATAACAAACGATACTGACATTAAAAATTACACCATTGTAATTTATATCTTGAGTAACCAGCACAACGTGCAGGATAAACACTAGTATTTATTAAAGGAGAGTTTTCAATCAGACACATGGCGTAATATTAGATAGGCTAATCCACGTGACGTAAAATTAGATAGTCAATTCCACATGTAGCAACAACACCGCTCCATCATTTAATGGTAATTTTTTTATTTATAAAACCGTAAAATCTATAAATAATTAATTTTACCGAGTTCAATTTATAAAAAAAAAAAAGAAAGCAAATTTTCAATACTGTGAAATAATAAAAAAGGGAAAGGTGAAGATAACGTTATAAAAAATCAATTTTAAATGACATGATGGTGAAATATAAAAAATTCCAATCACATGCCGATAATACAAAATCAGTAAACTTAAATAACGTAAATTACATGCAAAAGAAAGTATAAGTGGAAAAAAATATCCTTGAAGAATTGTGGATTTCTGTTCCATTGATGAATTTGATTATATGGACATGAAGTTATTCTTGAGATGAAAGGTAGCTATTTAGCCAGCTGCGTCGTGAATTTCAGTTCTTGTGTCCTTACTTATTTTGGTTTAAGGGTAGTTTCAATTATGTTTTTAAACTAGATTAGTTACAGAGCAACATTACTCATAATAGTTCTGGAGTTACATTGTTGGATCATATTGCGAAATATATTCGGCTGTGTGCAGAAAATTAGTTTTGACCATGGAAGTTCCTGTGAATTTTTCTGATGAAAATTAGTTTCTGTGAAGAAAGACATTCTGTAGTAATTTATTTAGCCATAGGATATAATAGTATAGATTGTGAAGGATTACATATACTGAAAAACTTGAATTTTGAGATATCTTTAGAGGGTATGAATTATCTTAATTTATAAGAAAAAGTTAGCAATAGGATATAATAGTATAGACTGCGAAGGATGAACCTTCTTTTTATTTTCTTTCAAGATATAAAACGAACATGCCCTAAGTTTTGTACTC